CCAGGCCCTCCACTGTGACTGCTCCTGGTGGTGATTCCCAGATTGTGCTTCCAGAGGGGCTCTGCTCAGCATGAGCTGGGGAGCCAAGGGGGCAGTTTGGGACTGGCGCTTCGGCACTGGCTGAGCTGGGAGATGTTTTTGCCAAGAGATTCCTGGTTTTGTCTTCCCTCTCCCTGACCTTTTATTGCTTTGCCATGATCTGGGGCAAACAGCTTAAAATCGTGGACTCAGAGAACATCCTGAGTTGGAAGGGACCTGGAGGCTCATCGAGTCCAGCTCCTGGCCGGTCTCCTGTTCTGTCTGCACACTGGGAAGAGCTCTCACCTGGCTGAAGGCAGACCTTGGAGCTGCTGGGATCTGATCCATGTGGCCACAGCTGTGACCCCACTGCTGGAACTCTGGGCCAGGAGCTGAAACCTGTTTGCAATAATTGAAGATCCTCTGGAGCAATCAAAGCCAAACAGTTCCAAAAAAGAGAATTTCTCCTGCTGGTGCCGGGGCCAGTCCTTCTGGGGCTGTCACACAATTCCCCCTCCTCCACGCCCCTGCTGCCAGCAAAGGACTTGCCAGGAAGCATAAACCACATCTTGGAGCAAGTCTGCGGCCAAAAAAAATGGAATTTCCTGAGTGCTGTGCTGAGGAAAACCTGTCCCTGCTGCTGAATGTCAGCCTTGAGAAACAAGACTTGCGTGGGCTCTTCCTTTCTCGGGCATTTGCCACCTCTGGCTCGCCAGCCCCAGGCCCCTGGGACCCAAGGTGCTGGGAGGGCTCCAAAGGCACTGCACCTAAATCTGGGATTTGCTGCAGATGAGTAATTCAGCAGCAATTCTTCCATCAGCCAGGGATGTGGGGACACGCAGCAGTTGGATTGCTGAGGGAGAGAGTGGGAAAGCATTGCTGAGGCTGTAGAGGCTGGATCCGAGCTGGTGCAGGGGGTAATGGGGATTGGAGGTGTCCCTCCATCCCCTCTTGGCTTGGCACAAATGGGGCTGTTCCCTGCAGGGATGTGTGGATCAGTCTGGACAACCAGGGAGCATCTTCACCTCAGTTCAGTTGTGGATGCAGTGGGAGAGAGGAGGAGGAAAGCAGCTTTTTAGGGAAGCAGCAGGGAGTGCAGCACATCCTCACTGCCCTGGCATTCTGAGTTCAGCTCCTTCTGATCACCAGGAATTTGTGTCTCCTCAGCCACACAGACCAGAAATTCTTGTGCTTCCATCTCTTTACCTTCCTTGCTGTTGGGGACAGCACTTTATCTTCCAGTGCAGCCTTTGTGCTCCCTCTGCTCTTGGCTGGGGTTGGGCTCTGGGCTCAGCCTGGCAGGAAAATGGGATTCCCACTCGCTGGTGGGATCAAGCTGAGCTTGGAGGGTCTGAGTATGGGATCACACCCACAGTCCCTGAAGTCCTGCAGGCAGGAAGGTGACATCACTTGGTCATGAATGGATTTATTCATCTCTTCTTGAATCCAGAGATTCCAAATCCCCAGGACTTGACACTCCTTAGTGTGAAACTTGCCCAGCTCTGGGTCACACTCAGTTCAGCTGAGTCACTTTGTTCTTTCTTTAGTCAAATTTAATCCTTGAGGAAATCACTTGAGCAATTGCAGCCTGGGAGTGGAGAGGTTTCCAGTCTGATCAGCTCTTCCATCCCACCTGGAAACATGTCCAGTGCAGCATTGCTCCGGCGCTGTGTCCCTGCCCTCAGCCCTGGGGACAAGTTTCCTTCTGAGACATGTGCTGGGGTCACTTCTTCAGCCTTCTTTGGGGTTGGACTAAATGACTTTTAAAGGTGCTTTCAAATCTTCCCAGACTGTTCTGATTCCCTGTCCAGACACATCTGAGAGGAGGTGGGTGAGAGCCAGACCTGCTGCTCCTGCACCTTCACCCCAGCCCTGTGGGGTACAAAGCTGGCAGCTCAGGTGCTCCCCACCGCAGTGGATTTACTGCCTGTGGTCACTGTTCCCATCTCATCCCAGCCTTCCCTTGGAAGGACCTGGATCTTCCTGCTCTGCTGGGCTGCCCCTTCCAGGTGTTTTCCTGTGGCCGTGGACAGGCAGCCCTGGGGTTTGGTTCTTGTTGCGATTTGTGTTCATAAAGCAGCATCTGCTACCCCCACTTGGTATTTTCCCATTTGGACGAGAGTCCAGGCAGAGGAGAGGCCGAGGGAGTGGTGGCAGGGACAGTCCCAGCGGTGCAGAGCTGCTGGTGACACCCAGCCCTGGCTCAGGGAGGGGGCAGCCAGTGCTGCCAGCTCCTCTGAGCCCTTCAGGCACTGGGAGTGTGGGGTCTGTGCCCTCGGGGTGCTCTGGCTCCTCTGCTCAGCCTTCCCTGGGCCCTTCCTCCCCTCCTCAGCGGGGCTGGAGCTCCCCTGGGGCACCTGCCCTGGCCCAGGGTGGCTGTCCCGAGGTGGCTCCTGTGTGACCAGTTTGATTCCAGAATTCACCCTCTGCTCCAGGGCGTGCAAACCTGAGGGGTCTCTGTGTGTTTTGTCCTGGGTAACTCCACCCTGGAATGATCCCAACTCCCAGGCGTGGCTGGCGTGGAAAATTCTGCTTTTCTTGTTTTGCCTGAGCCAAAAGCACAGAGAGGATTAAGGACTGGGAGCAGGGGAGGGCCTCGGATGGGGCTGTGAACCCAAAATGCTTTTGGGGAGCAGAAACTACACAGTGTTTTTGTGAACTATCTTTGCAGCACTGAGGAAAAATCACAGGAATTGGAGTTTTGGGAGTAGAGATGTGCAGTCAGTGTATGAATATTTGAAGTCTTACTGGTTTTAAAGGGTTTTCTTTCTTTTGTTTTTTTGCTCCATTTCCATTTTCCGCTCCATGTGCGGATCAGGTTTTCACTAAAAGCTGTTTGAAAATGTTGTTGTGCCATATTTTATTTATCCTTATACATTATAAATATAAAAATATATATTTAGACTGAATATTGCATTGAAAGATGCTGTTATTGGGAACTTCAGGGTTTAAACTTGAGACAAAAAAAAATTGGGAAATAATTCTCCAGTACTTTTACTGTTTGGGACCTTCTTTCTGAAGAGGCTCCTTGAATTCTTTATGGTGTAAAAACAAAATCACATCTGAAAATTCCAAGTTGACAATGCTAACCCTGAAGTTCTCATGTTTGTGATCCTTTGGTTTTCTTGAGGTACATCTGGTTGCTTTTCTGGTGCAGTCAAATAATTTTTTAAAAGGTTTTGTCTCTGGAGTTATTGAGGAAAAGGTGGAATGGGTTGATCCATCCTGCTTGGCTTTTTTAATCTATTAATCTTTGAAGTGATCAATTTCCAATTAAAACCCAACTTTTTAGGTCTCTGTTCTACTTAAACTTTTTAGGAGTGAGAGCCTGCCCTCGCTGAGTGGGACTTGGATGGGGAAAGCAGTAGATGATGAGGTTGCTGTTGCTCAGGAATTGATTAGTAAACTTTTAACTACTAATAAAAATCCATTTTTCAATGGATTTTTAGAAAAACCCATTTTCTTAGGACAGTGATATGGGATGTTTCCTAGTGAATAGGAATTAGTTTATATAGTTTAGCCTATTAAACTGAATTATTTAAAATTCAAACTTCCCCTAATTTATCTTTTTTTTGTTTGTTTGTTTTTTTGGTTGGTTTGTTTTTGGATTTCTTATTTTGGTTTTTTTTGGTTTTTTTTTTTTTATACTGGTAAGTTGTTCTGTCATTCCTTTCATTCCTGCCTAGCAGTAGTGTGAATTCTGGTGTGTATATATGTATGTATAATATATATATTTCCACCCGGCCTTTCTAATTCTCCACAATGTAAGAGTTAGTTTTTGCTCCTCTCCCTCCACTTAATTTCTTGTGTCTCCCTTGATTTGTAATTGAAACGATGCTTTGAAGTTTTGTCTTTATATTAAAGTGTCTGTATTTTAATACACCGAGCTCGTGTGGACTTTCACTGCCTCAGCAGGAATCAGGAGGGAATTGGGATTTGGGGATTTTGTGGGGGCACAGAGGGACAGAGATCCCTGAACCGGGCAGCACCTTCAGCCCTGAGGGTTTGGGGATGCTGTGCTGGGCACTGGGGAGGGACAGCAGGGCCTGGGGACAGCTCTGGGCCCGTCAAGGGACACTGAGGGGCTGGAGTGTGTCCAGGGGAGGGAACAGAGCTGGGGAAGGGTCTGGAGCTCCAGGAAGGGCTGAGGGAGCTGGGAAAGGGGCTCAGCCTGGAGAAAAGGGGGATCAGGGGGGACCTTGTGGCTCTGCACAGCTCCTGACAGGAGGGGACAGCCGGGGGGGGCTGGGCTCTGCTCCAGGGAACAGGGACAGGAGGAGAGGGAATGGCCTCAGGGGAGGTTGAGGTTGGAAATTGGGAAAATTTCCTCACAGAAAGGTTTGTGAGGCACTGGAAGGGGCCACCCAGGGCAGTGCTGGAGTCACCAGCCCCAGGACTGTTGGAACAAAGTGTGGATGTGGCACCTGGGAACAAGGGCAGTGGTGGCCATGGCAGTGCTGGGTCATGGTTGGACTTGATCTTTTTAAAGGTCTTTTCCAACCAACTTCCATGATTCCCAAGCCATCCAAGCTTTGCTCCCTTTTAGCCAGCAGTGGAAACAGTGCAGCAACCCCACAGGCAGGCAGGGATGTGTTTAAACCTCAGAGCTGGAGGCCACAAACACTTCCTGAGCCAATTCCCTGCTGGATTTTAAATGAGACACAGCCCCAGGTTCACCCAGAGCCCCCAGCCCCTGGCTCTGCCAGGCCACAGCCTGAGCCAGCTCCTCTTCCTACACAGGTTTGTCACCTGCCACTGGCCTGGCTCCAGCACCAGCTGGATTAGCTGACCTTTAAAGGCTCCTTCCAACCCAGGTTATTCTCTAATTGTCTGAAAAAGCCTCTCCAAAGCCCCTGGTGGAGCCATCTCCAGCAGGGTCCTGAGCAGGAACCACGCCTTGTGCCCCTGGGCAGGCCCTGAGCTGGCTCCAGCCACCCCTCCCAGGGAGGTTTTGGTGTTGTACAACAGTTCTGACCATCACAAAGTTTAAAACAGGATTTATTGGGAATGTTCACTGTACAACACAGAACGGCTCTCAGGGAGCCTGGAGCTGGCTCTAGCTGAAACACAACAAGCAAAGTCATCAGAATGTGAAAAATGAGCAATTGTCTGTAAATCGCCAGCAGTTGATGCAAATTTCAAAGTATCTACAAAGTACCATCCTCCCTCCCTAAATCCCACCCCGTGTCCCAGCCCTGCCCTACATGGATCTGAGTCCCTGGGCCTGGCCTGGCCCTGGCAACTCTTCACAGCTTTTGTTGTACATTCAGTTAGGAAATGTCATTGGTGATGAACATTCAAATCCGTGTTGGGCTTCGCTCTTGCTCACCCATTGTTCCCTGGAACAACAAATAAAACACCATTTTCTGCACAGTGACACTGGAGGGTGGCAGCTCCACCTGGGGAAAGGTGTCCAGCGAGGAGGCCACGAGTCCTGCAAGGCACAGGTGACACATTTGCTACAGTGGTGGCGCCCAGCTGAGAACTCAGCTCTGCTTTGTAAAACTGCAGGCTGGGTAGGATTAAAATGCCCTTTGGAGTCATCCAAGGATACTGATTCCCTAAAGCACAGTTCCTGTGTGTTCCTGCTCTTAATCCCTTGCTGCTGCTTCCCCTGGAGCTGCCATCTGTCTGCAACCCCCCCCGGATTCTGCTCCTTCCCTGCTGCCCTCGGCTGATTCCCCTGGACAGCTGATTTTGGTAATTTCTGGAGCAAGCACCTGGAATGATTCAAGGAAAAGGGAGTATTTGGGGAGGGAAAAGGGAAAAATCTCAGTGTTGAGATAAAAACTAAAGCATCAGTGACAGGTGTCATTCTTGGTACTCAGCTGCATGAGGTAAAGAGGGAACCACCAGGATGCCAAAGGCTGCAGTGTAGCCTCTGGTTTGGGCATTAATTCCCAGCCAAGGAGGAAAAGACCCCAAAATTCCCTTCAAACCCAGCTCAGAGGCTGTTCCACCCCCTCCCTGGGCTGGGTACCTGGAGGGGAACAACATCCAGAGCTGCAGCCCCCCAAAGCCTGGGCCAAGCCCCTGCCCTGCCCCAGCCCCAGCCCCATTCCTGCTGCCAGCAGCCTCTGACAGTGACTCCTGGGACCTTCCCAGAGGCCTTTCCTGGCAGTTTTCCCAGGCTGGTTCCAGGGAAGCTGCTCTGGCAGTCAAGAATCTGGGTCTGCTGCAGCCCTGGGTGTGGGGAGTGTCCTCCATCCCCCATGTCTGGGCAGTTTTCCTTGGTGCAGCCAGAGCCAGGGCTGGTCCTGTGGGGGTGTTGTTCCTAATCCTTATCTCTTCCCTACAGGAGCTCCAGGACAGGCAGCCCTGTTTCCCTGGCAGCTCACTGTGACCTTGGCACAGTTTTTTTGTCTGTCCCTTTGGACAAAGGGGACACACAGAGGGGAGAAAAGCTGCAGCAGTGGCTCAGGGAATGAAGGGTTAATGCCTGGCTGAGCTGGTGCATGTCGTGCAGCTCCATCCTCCAGCCAAAGGGAGCAGCTCCTGCCTTTGCCAGCTTCTCCATCTGCCTCTCCTCCCTGGGAAGCTAGAGCTGCAGAGCTCTGCAGACAGGCAGGATCACACAGGGATCTCTCCCTGTCTTTGTTCCCTCGTGCTCTGCAGCTTTGTTCTTTTGGATGGGCTTATCCAGCCCCCAGGAATGCCAGCACCTGCCCAGGGGAGGGAAAAGAAGACCCCAAAAGGCTGTGGCTGCATAGGGTTGATGTTCCTCTCCATCAGCTGGAGCTGTGGCTGAGCTGGAGGAATTCCCACTCCTCTCTGGAGGGACAGGAGGGGGTTAATTTGGAGCCAGAAATGCATCAGTCACATCCTCTTACAGCCAGGGATGAGCCTGGGATGGCTCCTGGGAGACTGCAGAGGATCCTGAGCCAGGGAAGCTGAGCAGAAGGGTGGAGCTGGCCCGGGTGGCCCCAGCACAGCCTGGAGGAGAGCAGGCACTGGGAGCTCTGTCAGCCCCTGCCTCTGCCCATGCCAGGGCTGGGGCACCAGGAATGTGCAACGAATTCCCTTTAAAAAAAATACAAAACATTGGGATAATAAATAAAAAAGTCACGTGGTCACAGTGGGGAGCTGCTGTCCTTCCCAGGGGCTGGGATGGAGCCAGGAGCCAGGTGAGGTCACTGCCTGTGTGCTCCCAGCTGGAAACGAGCTTCCTCAGAGATTCCATACTGCTCCAGGGGGTCCTGTGGGGGAGCACAGGGAGGCACCAGTGAGATGCAGACAAAGCCCAGGAGCCTTTGGGACACACAGGACACAGCAGGGAGCAAGGTCCCGGGGAGCCACAGCCACCTCCCTCCCTGGAGCAGGGATGCTCCTGGCCCTGGCAGGGGGCAAGCAGCATCTCCACCCATGGATCTGCCCAGGTGTGAACTGTTCCAGAGATCCCCTGGGAGGCCAGGCCAGCTCTGGACCTGTCCAGCATCAGAGTGTGCATCAGGGTTGGAGTGAGCACCCAGGAGAAGGTGCTCAGGTCTGGCTGTGGAGACCACGCCTATAGGATCTGGGATCTCCTTCCCACACACAGCCTGGGCAGGACTGGCAGCAACAGCCCCTGCTGCCAGCCAAAGCCATCAGTCACACCTGAGCACTGCCCTGCAGGGACTCACTCACCTTCCCTGTCATCTTCTGGATCTCGTTCCTGTAGAAAATCAGGCTCCTCCTCAGGAACTCGTAGCTGCAAGACAGGAACAGAGCACGGGAAAGGCTGAGCAGAGAAGGATGTGGGGAAGTTTCAGATGCGATTTCGAGGTGGAGGGAAGCTTGTCTGGGAGGAGACAAGCACTGCCCTCCCAGTTCCTGATCCCAGAACACAGCCCAGAGCCCACCTGGCTCTCTTGAGTGCCTCGACCCATTCCTGGCACTGCTCCTCCGTGGCACACTCGAAGCAGTATTTCCTCTCTGGCTCCTCGATGAAACCTGCCAGGGACAAGGAAAAGGCTCCAGGTAGGTCCTGGCAGAGCTGCTGGTGCTCCCCAGACTCTGCCAGGCCACAATTAGCAGCTCTGTTAACGAAGATGAGCTGGGAACGAGTCTGCAGCCCCCAACTCCAGCCACTCTCCCATTGCCTGGATGGCTCTGGGTGCCTGGGGCAGCTGCCCACAGCATTTCCCAGCTTACAGCAGCCACAGACCTCGGGAAGAGCAGCTTCCCAAACTGAGGGTGAACTTAACTGGCCCAGCATGGCCAGATCCAGGACTGACTCCCTGAGGCCCCTTGCAAAGACACCAGGGATTTAAATCCAAGTGGGAAACAGCCCTGAGGGAGGAACTGGGATACCTGCAGGGAGCAGCCAACTGAGGAGTTAAACTGCACTGGGAGAAGGCCCCGAGCTGCCTTTGCTGGAGGCTTTTGGGAATGTGGTACTCACATGGTACTCCCACCATGGAGAGCAGGTCCTGGTGCCACTCCAGTCCTTGACCAGGACAGAGCCAGGACATGGCACCAGTTCCTGTCCCCAGAGCTCTGCTGAGCAGACCCTCAGGGCTGCTGCTGCCAAACACCCGGGTCAGGCTGCACCAGCACCTCGGGATGGGCTGTGGACACATCCCAGCACCAGGTACCGCTGGGTTTGACCCTGCTCAGGAATCCTCCTCCACCAGAGCTCCCAAAATCCAGCACGGGGTGCTCCAGGCTCAGTGTGTTCAGGCAGTTTGAGGGTCCTTTGGAAGCACAGAGCAGAGCCACAGCTGTGCCTGGCAGCCAGGCCAAAAGATACAGGGATGGCCTTGGAGAAACATCCTGTTATTGTGGCCACATACCTCTGGCAGAGGGGAGAGCTGCGGGATGAAAGGCTGCTCCCAGGGGAGCTGGCCCAGCTGCCGCTGCACAAGGACGCACAGAGGGGAGGATGGGGCTGGAGCAGCTTTATCTGAGCCTCTCTAGGGTGTTTTTTGGATAAAATGCAGCAGCACAGAGCAGATCTGTCAATAACCAAGCTCCCCCTGCCAGAGATTCCACAGGCAGGCAGTGGGGCCTGGCTGCTCTTAGTGCTGCTCTGCACGTGCAGCTGTGCAAATCCCTCAGGCTGTGCCATGGAATATCCCTGAGCTCTCCTCGGGATGGCCACAGGCACACTGAGGAACAGCTGGCAGCTGTGGCGGGGAAAGGTTGAGGAATTGGTAAAGTTGGAAAAGGCCTTTAAGACCATCAAGTCCAACCATCAGCTCAGCACCACCAGGTTCACCACTGACCCCTGTCCCCAGGTGCCACACCCACAGATCTCCTGAACACTCCCAGGGATGGGGACTCCACCACTGCCCTGGGCAGTCTGTGCCAGTACTTCCAAACCTTTTTGGTGAGTAAATTTTCCGCAGTATCCAACCTAAACCTGTCCTGGGCACAACTGGAGGTCATTTCTTCTTGTCTTGTCCTCTGTTCCCTGGGAGCAGAGCCTGACCCCCACCTGAAGGGCCCTGACCCCACTGAGGGAGAGGAGAAGGGCTGTGGGCAGTGACCCCACCGAGGAGGGGAAGGGCTGAGCTGACCCCACTGCACCAGGGAAACAGGGCAAACAGAACTGAGCATTCAGCATTCCCTTTCCCACCAGAGGAAGGCAAAGGGGTGCACAGGCAGCACTCACTGATGGAGAAGACGTTCTCCTCCTCTTTGGTGATCTTGCAGTGCTCCAGCAGCAGAGCTCCAATGGGCTGGAAAACACATGGAGAGAGGGTTTAACCCACAGTGCCTGCAACACCACGAGGGCTGAACCCACAGTGCTTCCCTGGAGCCTTTTAAGCAACTTTCACAAGCTGGTACTGCTTTTAAATAATTCAGTCTGATTGCACCATATTTCATGTTCCTTTAATCAACCTTTTCTTGTCAGTCTCACCTGCAGCACTTTGCATTTGTTAATTAGGTGTTAATCATCTCTATTGGCTCAGTTTCAGCCTGGCCTTAACCACTCTGTGATACCAGAGAAGAACATTTGCTTTTAAAATCAAAAATAAAACATTTACTGTGACACCCAGAATAACCAACACTGAGCTGTGCAGGGGCTGTCCTGGAGCCTTGCAAGTGTGAGCAGAGCTGCAGCAGCTCAGGAGGACCAAAAAACCACCTGGTACTACTCAGGGACGTGGGGACAGCAGGTGACATTGGCCATGAACAAGAGCAACCACAAGAAATCCTTGTCCAAGTGAACCAACACGTCAGAAGCAAATCAGGCAGCAGGCAAGGGATTGCAGACCTGATTTATCTTGCATTTATCTAGAACTCTTTGGGTTGGAAGAGACTTCAAAGCCCATCCCATTCTACCCCTGCCATGGCAGGGACACCTCCCACTGTCCCAGGCTGCTCCAAGCCCTGTCCAGCCTGGCCTTGGGCACTGCCAGGGATCCAGGGTGGGCACCCTGTGCCAGGGCCTGCCCACCCTGCCAGGAACAATTCCTGCCCAATCTCCCATCCAGCCCTGCCCTCTGGCAGTGGGAGCCATTCCCTGTGTCCTGTCCCTCCAGGCCTTGTCCCCAGTCCCTCTCCAGCTCTGCTGGAGCCCTGCTGAGCTGCTGGAAGATGGAAGGTAGACCCTGCTCCAGTTTTGCCATGCACCATTTTCCCAGCCCACACAATCCAGGCACAGAAAAAGAAGAAAGGAGGAGGGGACAAACACCACACAGAGGCCCAATCCCTACCTCGGCCTCATCGGTGCGGAAGTAGAAGAGAAAGTTCACCACGAGCTTCACCAGGCGCTTCTTCAGCACTGCAGGGGCACGAGGGAGCAGGGCAGGGCTGAGGCAGGGGCACGGGGAGCAGGGGAGCCCTGCCCGCCCTGCCAGGCACTGACCCCACCATGGCACCCCCCGAGGCTGCTCCCCCAAACTGCTGCCTCGGGGTGACAGTGTCTGAGTGGCCTCAGGGTGACAAAGCCCCTGAGCAGCTCCCGGGCAGTCAGAGCTCACAGCAGCAGCACCACGGGACCCCAGGCACTCCAGGAAAAGCTCCGGATCCGGGAGCCCTGCCTGGAGCTGCCAGCATGGGCGTCACCCCCGGGGACAAAGTCCAGCAGGTGCTCAAGGAGGAAATGCTCAGGACAAGGCAGTGAGCACAACTCTGCTGGTTTGCAGGGGAATTTGCTGGGAGATTTCAGGGAAGAATTTCTTCCCCAGATCCCCTGGAAATAGGGAATCTCCCTGGCCCCAGCCCACCTCCAGAACCTCCCTGCACGTCCAGAGTGGATCTCAGGACTCGTGCTCCCCAGTGCCACACTCCAGCCCTCCCAGTCTGCCTGTCCACAGTGCTGTCTCCCAGCACTCCCAGTCCCACCCGCCCCTCTGCTCAGTGCTCCCAGTCCTGCCCTGGTTTCCCAGCCCGGATTCTCCAGGACCCTCGATCCTCCCACCCAGCTCCCCCAGACCCTCTCCAGCCTCTTCCCCCAGCAGCTCCAGGTCTGATTCTGCAGCCGGGGCCCCTCAAGCATCCCCAACCCTCCCCTGGTCCTACCCCCAGTTTCCCACTCATGATTCTCCAGTTCCCCCAGCCCCGCCACCCACGGCACTCTGCCAGTCCCTCCCCAGTATCCCCAGTCCCGACTCTGCCCCCAGGTACCCCGGTCCTGTCCCACCTTCCCCTGCCTCCCCCAGCACTCCCAGTTCGCCCAGTCCCGGCTCGGACCTGCCCCAGTTTCCCCAGTTTCCCCAGTATCCTCAGCCCCACCGCCCCAGCTCCCCTCACACACGGCTCCCACTGTCCCCGCCCGGACTCCTCCAGTCCCTCTCCCGCAACCCCAGCCCTGCCTCCCCGCTCGGGGCCCCTCAGGCACCGCCGATCCTCCCCGCGCTGCTGCCCGGCCCCGCTACCGCAGCCCTGTGCGGATCCCGCTCACCGCTGCCCTTCTTGGGGACGCTCATGCGGATCTCGGCCGCTTTCTCGGCGGGCTGCCGGGCCAGGCACAGCAGCTCCCGCTCGTTGTAGCGCATGGCGGGCCCCGGCCCCGGCCCCGCCCGGGCCGCCCCAGCGCCGGCGGAAGCGCCCTCAGAGGGCCCGGAACGGCTTCGGCGGCCCGGATCTGCCCTCAGCGAGCTCCGAAACTCCTTCCGCGGGCCCGGATCTGCCCTCAGCGAGCTCCGAAACTCCTTCCGCGGGCCCGGATCTGCCCTCAGTGAGCTCCGAAACTCCTTCCGCGGGCCCGGATCTGCCCTCAGCGAGCTCCGAAACTCCTTCCGCGGGCCCGGATCTGCCCTCAGCGAGCTCCGAAACTCCTTCCGCGGGCACGGAAACGCTCGGGGCCCGCGGGAGCCGGGGCGGGAGCGCGGCCGCGCGCAGGTTCGGAGCGGGGAGAGGGGCCCTGAGGGGAGAGGGGGAACTGGGGAGTCGGAGCTGGGCAACTGGGAGTGCTGCGTGAGGAGAGACTGGGAGAGATGGAAGGGAGGGACTGGGAATGCTGGGTATGGAGGGACTGGGAGAGCTGGGAAGGAGGAATTGAGAGAACTGGGTGAGGAAGGACTGGAGAGCTGGGAAAGGAAGGATTGCAAGAGCTGGGAGAGAAGAGACTGGGAGAGCTGGGAAAGGAGGGACTGGGAGAGCTGGGTGAGGATGAACTGGGAATGCTGGATGAGGAGGAACTGCAGAGCTGGGAAAGGAGGGACTGGGAATGCTGGGTGAGAAGGGACTGGAGAGCTGCGTGAGGAGGAATTGAGAGAACTGGGGGAGAAAAGACTGGGAGAGCTGGGTGAGGAGGGACTGGGAGAACCATGTGCCCAGGGCATGTCTGGGTGTCACCCCCACCCTCGCTGCTGGGGCTGAAGAGTCCTGTGGCTCAGTTGTCCCTGACACTCCTTCCTCTTGGCAGACTCTCCGTTTCTCCAGGAGGAGCTGAAGCCCAGAAATCCCCAGCATGGATTTCCAGCACCGGCCCGGGGGTAAAACGGGCAGCGGGGGCGTGGCCTCGGCCTCCGAGAGCAACCGGGACCGGCGGGAGCGGCTGCGGCAGCTGGCCCTGGAGACCATCGACATCAACAAGGTGCAGGGCAGCCCCCGCAGCCCGGGGCACACCGTGCACAGTCACCTTCTTGGCATCCTGAACTGCTTTGGGTTGAAGGGAGCATTAAAGCTTGTCCAGGGACATCTCAGGTTTCTCCAAGCCCTGTCCAGCCTGGCCTTGGACACTTCCAGGGATCCAGGGGCAGCCACAGCTGCTCTGGGAAATCCATGCCAGGGCTGCCCACCCTCACAGCCAAGAATTTTTCCCCAGTCTCCCATCTAAACCTACTCTTGGTCTCTTTGAAGCCATTTCCCTTTGTCCTGTCCTTCCAGGCCCTTTTCCAAAGTTTTTCTCTGTCGGTATAGGACACATGAAAGCACGATGCAAGCCGCTGCTATTGCAAGGTGAAAAAGAAAGAGTTTATTTTCTGACTCCAGCATTTATACTTTTTCAAAGGTGACAGTGGATTGGAGGGTGAAGGTGCCACCTCTCCAATGACATTAGACAAACTACTAGTACATCAAGTTTCTCCACCTCTATGAAGGAATGCAAAACAATAGGTTGTGTACAGAAAGTTGTGCGAGAAAGTTCTCTAACAGAATGGAAACTCAGAAGGCTTTAGAAAATCTTAAGAATCAGGGTGACATTCCTCCAGTTCTCTTGGAGCCCCTTTAGGCTCCAGGGTAACCCCAGAGCCTTCTTGTGTCCAGGCTGAGGTGTGGATTTGGTTTAAATACATCTGTTTCTAGGCATGTGGGGGTTCAATAAGGAATATTTGGGACAGAGTGACAAGGAGGTGCCAGCTCTTGTGTATCCATCTATTTCCAGTCTCCCCAGGGCTGGTTTGGGTTGTGGTGTTTCCTGCTGCAGTTGGGAATTCTGTCACCAGTGCACACACAGCTGCTGTTGGTTCTCTCTGTTTCCTCCTCCTAAACCTCTCTTGTGCTGTTAATTTAAAATCTGAACTCAGCTATAGGATCCTAGGGTATCCTGAGCTGGAAGGGACCCTCAGGGATCATCAGCCCAGCCCCTGTCCCTGCACAGACCCCCCAACAGCCCCACCCTGAGCATCCCTGAGAGCTCCTGCAGCTCTGGCAGCCTCGGGGCTGGGACCATTCTCTGGGGAACCTGGGCAGTGCCAGCACCCTCGGGGGAAGAACCTTTCCTCCAGTGCAGAACTCTGCAGTATTTTGGTTATTCTCTTACTTTGCCAACAGATTTTGCTCATAACTTGTCTGTCGTTCTTTTCCCAGGACCCCTATTTTATGAAAAATCATTTGGGCTCCTACGAGTGCAAGCTGTGCCTGACACTCCACAACAATGAGGTGAGGGGAGCACCTGCCTGTCCTGATCCCAGCAGCAGCAATTTGGGAATAACAGGAGCTTCAGCACATGGGCAGTGACTGCTGAGACCTTAGGGGTGGTTAAACCTAACAGTGTGCACCAAGATCTTGTTGAAGAGTGATTTTCTTCTGAAGGTTCAGGAGTAGTGTAGATGAGCTTAGTCTTCTTCTGATAATCTAGTAAAAAAGAAAGCTGTTCTTCTTAGAATCTGGTAGAGAAAGACTGCTTCTAGTGTTCTGAATCTCAGATTATATCTAAGTAAGAATACTTAGCTCCTCCCGCTGAGCAGAACATCTCACAATGAATTGATGTAATTTTATCAGTTATGTAGTGAGATTCAATGACCTGTTATCAAAAGATATCTCCCCAGAGGGAAGATTAGTTGTAGAAGAGATAAAGTAAGCTGCCCAATTAACAAAAAATAACTGCCCCACTTATATAAGAAATAAAATACACACTTATCTTATAACCCAAGACATGATGACAGCTCAGCAGCTGAGAGCAATCTGCACTTTTGGAGTGAGATTCCTCTGTGCTGAGGATTAAAACACCCTTGTCAGGAAGTGATGCAATCTCCCTGTGACAGGAATGTTTCAGTCACAGATTCATTTAACTTCTACCTTGGTTTTTATTTCAGGGGAGTTACTTAGCACATACCCAGGGGAAGAAGCATCAGACCAATTTGTAAGTTATCATCTACCATAACTTTGTTCTCCATTACTGAAGCACTTTAATATGATGATGTTGGGTGTCTGTAGTCCTTTAACTCCATTGCACTCTGCTTGATTGTTATTTTACTGTGGTTCCTCATGCAGCCAGGAGGCACAGCCTGGATCTGCTTGAAAAATTGGTGTTGAAGATCTCCATTTCGAGCTAAAGTTCAAATCCAGTTGTGAAATTGCTGAAGGAAGAGAGAGAGAGTTTTAAAAGCAAATTGTCTGAGTCTAGTTAGGAGGACCTCTGCCTGCCAGAGCTCCAGGAGCATTTGGACAGTGCTCTCAGGAGTGCTCAGGTGGGATTGCTGGGGTCTCTGTCCAGGGCCAGGGGTTGGATTTGATGATCCCTGTGGGTCCTTCCAATTCAGGAGATTCTAAAATTCTGTGATCTGGATTTGTCAATACATGTTTGGAGAAGTTTGTAAGTTTTGTTTTAAGGAATCCGGTTTGCTTTGCTTGATCTATGGGTTTGGCTGTTTTTTTTTTTTTTCCTTTTCTCTTTTTTTTTTTTTTTTTTTTTTTGATTTCAAGAATTAAAATCTTTTCAAATCCATCTGTGGAGCCTGGCCTCAAGGTCATCATGAGGGTGGATCAGATGGTTGAGTGACAGCCTTTAGCTGGGGGGAGGATGGATGCAGCTGGGGAAGGGAAATAGGATTTCCTGGCATGATTCCTGTGGAATGCTGTGCTGAGGGATTCAAACTGCTCCTGGCTTTCCTTCAGAAACAAGGGCAGGTAATGCTTAAATTCTAAATTAATCCCCAGGGCCCGACGAGCTGCCAAGGAAGCCAAGGAAGCCCCTGCCCAGCCTGCCCCAGAGAAGGTCAAAGTGGAAGTGAAGAAATTTGTGAAAATTGGGCGCCCAGGCTACAAAGGTGGGTCAGGGGCTCCTGATGGGCAGTGCTTGCCTGGCTGGGATGTGAATTATTCATTAGTCTTTTGAGCAGCTCTGTATCAGCTCTGTATCGGTGCTGTGATCCCCAATTCAGGAAGAATGATGTGTAGAACTTCATGACATTAGAAGGTTAATTAATTACTTTATTATACTATATTATATTAAAACACTGCATTACACTAATAAGAACCATTACTAACTAACTAGAAAACTTGTGACTCTGCTGAGTCCTGGCACAGTTGTATACTAATTGGTTAATTAATTTAAAACAGTATTACTAGTATTTAATTAAGAAATCACCTTCTTAACAATTTCCATGACACATTCTACACGTGCATAAACACAGGCATAGCAAATGAGATAAGAATTGTTTTGATTCTCTTTTCTCTGCTTCTCTCACAGTTTCTCTCAGGAGAAATCCTTAGAAAGCTAAGTCTTTCTCTCTTCAGAGGAAATGTGAATATCACAGCTCTGCCCATGAATAAGATATGGGCTCTCTCCTGAAGTCTTTATTGTTTAAATTGCTCATGGAGCATCTCTTTATGGCTGACAGGCAGGGAGAACCACGACAATAATAGATGGGTGTGTCTCAGGCTGCCAGGGAGATGATGGCATTTCATCTCTCCTCCTTCTCTTGTGCTGCAGCACCTTTCATTAATGCTGTAAATCACTCACTCCATGCAGAACTCATGGGTGCCAGGGCCTGCTCACCCTCACAGAAGTAGCTTTGGTTAAAGATAATGTGACATTTTGTTTGATAAATAGGAGAAAAATCTTGTAATATTTAATTATTGGAAACTTTGTGTGTTTCCCAGGGCAGATTAATGCTGCTCTCACCCTGCCTGGGGATGTTCTCAGCTTTCTTATTTTTTTTTTTAACAGTGACCAAACAGAGGGACCCAGAAACAGGCCAGCAGAGCCTTCTCTTCCAGGTAAGGGCAGGGTTAAAACTCTCCTTGTCAGGGTTTTCCAGGTAACACTGCTGCTAAATGAGCACTTCTTTGCAGGATCCATGAAATCAATAATAATAATGAGGCCTTTATCTTCCTAGTTGCTGCAGCTGATTGTGTTGAGCAAATCCCTGAGCTCAGCTATCAGGCTGTGTCGTAGGAGAGGAATGTGGAGTCTGAGGTGGAATTAAATGAGAATCACAGGATAGTTTGGGCTGGAAGGGACCTTAAAAATTATCTATTTCCAACCCCCTGTGATGGGCAGGGACACCTTCCATGAGACCAGGTTGCTCTAACCTGGCCTGGAACAC